GTTTCTACATCAAATCTGTTCATAGTCTCTATGATTCAACTCACACTTGTGTGCCTATGTGGAAAGGTATATATAGTCTTCTACAGAATTTTGATATGCTATCGTAACTTTTAAGTACAGTGTATAGGGTCCCAACCCCATCCATTGTTAAGCGACCAATGGCAAAGTTTACAGTAAATTCTCATCCTGCAGTTTTAATCAGAAGTTGTAAAACTTAAATTCATCCTTCACAGATTAATAGCCCCAAACAGTTTTACGACTTAATTACTTTGACACATCTGAAATTTATGTAAGATAACATTGTAATTATCACAGAAGTCCCTTTTCCTTGAGAGATCATATAACAAAATGAAATAATAGAATATTTAAATTTCATTTCAGAAATGCCCTGCACTATACCAAATTAACCAAAAACAATTATTTCATGAGTGATGAATTAGGACATAAATCTAGTCATGTACGAGGCAAAATGGGTACTTAATGTCTCCGGTTCGGTATATTCCTATTTGGTCAATAACCCAACACAACAGTGAACATCAAAAATTCATGGACACCAGTAAATCACAGAATGCATATTCCAAGTGACAGGTAGATTTGGAGCAATATAAAGGATGGCTCATTCAATATTTATTTTGATTTTGTCTAAGGCCAGCTATATCATCAAAGCAACATTGGACTTTTCCAAAGCAACCAATTCTTCAAGCAGTTGTATGTTTAAGTACTAGACTAGTTTATTATTCATTGCTTCAATCTCACGCTGATTCTGATCCTACACCTTTTAGGTTTCAAAACATGTGCAGACATCATTACTTTCAGAACGTAGTGCAGCAAAACTGGGATATTCCGATAGAAGAATTTTTAGAAGCAAAACTCAAGAATTAAATAGCTCAAGGAAGGGGATTGTAACACGAATTTGTTTATCAATCCACAATGACTAAAGTTTGAACAATTGTGTGTGCTAAAATAAAAGAAAATAAGCAAAAGCATTAATATGTACTATTTCAAACCCAGGAACAAGTTTGCCTAATGACCTTTTTTTTAAAAATTATTTTTCCACTCAACAATCTATCCTGATGCAAGACAGAGTTAGGAAACTTACCTATGGCTGCTTACAATTGGAATTATGATGAGTTATGGGTTCTGGGAGGCTTCTATGGTTGGGGTTTTAAAAGAGAAAAGAAAGTTTATATAGTTTGGAGAAGAATAGGTGTGAAATTTGGTTTGATTTTTCAAATGTGGCAACTCGTTGAGTTTTCAAAAGTTCAAGGGCATAACAGCGAGTAAATGGTTCAATTATCATGCTCTTAGGTTCCTTAACATTATCAGGCCCTATCTTCTCAGTATCAACTTGTTGGTTGATATGAGACAACGAAAGAGTAGAATTAAAAGATTCTAAATACACCAACCAAAAATAATTACCAACTACCTTATATATATGTTAGTAGTAGATTTATGTCTTTAATTCAATATGAGTTCAAAATTACTTGGGTTGATATCATAAACATCTGGAAGCCAGTGCTCCACTTAGTCTCTAGAGTGAGCACTTGAAATGATTTCTCAAACTAATCATAGCTGTCAATGTTCTGCAAAATGCATTATTATAATTATGGTGCTACATACCATGACCTCAGCAACTTTATCATTACTTGGTTTGTTATCCTTCGAGTACCCAGCCATCCACACCTCTAAGCGAGTTGCAAGAACTCCATTCTTCTTATTAGTTTCCTACAATTACACTTAAAATTAAGTAACAAAATCAAAATATACAATTTCAATTTGAAATATAAAGAAACTATATACCTCTACTCGAACAACTGAGAATGGTTTTCTGCCAGTTATGTGATTTAATGTCTTCTTCTTCTGAATTTCTTTGTTTTTTGTACTTTTTTTCTGTTACATATGAACACAAACACAAGATAATTTATTAATTTAGCAAACTCATCTTATGAGATTACGATAGAGATCAATAAACAATTTAAATGATACCTGTGCCTTCCGAGTGCCCCAATAATAGACTAAGCTTCACCATTGATGCTCATGTACTCTTTCGGGTCGATGAGTTAACCTATCAGCATCGTTGTCGAATGGCATATACCCCATTTGTTTAACTCTAGCCTTCCACTCTCTCCATTTTTTTCCAACAGATGCCAAAACAAATTTCTTCATTGACTCATCGGCATCTGTATTGACCTGCAAATAATTGGCAACTTTGTGACTATATATTGTGCCATGCCAGATGACTGAAGACTGAAACTCTATATTTCAGAAGTTGATTTCAAGATCACAGGCTTGTAGACATTTAAAAGACAAGAATCAAGAGATCAGGACACAATTACTTTATGAAATTACACTGTATCATTCCCATAATTCGATATCTGAACAACCCACTATTCAAATGCCACAAGACAAGTTGCCCAAAAATCAAGCTACAGCAACAAGTAATTAGTGGTTTTATCAATCCTGGCTCCATTCGTATTGGAAAAACAAGAATAGTTGGAAATTGATATGTAAAATGCAATAATTCTTTTACCTTTACTTCTCTCCAAATTCTGTCTTTGTTTTCCTTTGGTACATGGCTCGAAGCCAAATGTAACATAGTATTTGATCAAATCATGCCATCAGAGCCAACAACAGTTCTTGATAATTAAGTGCAATAAAGAAAGTAGAGATGGAAGGAAACAGACAAAGAAACAGTTAGCAGGATTCTAAACTTGTCCTTGAAGGTTGAATATCACCAATAAAAGTCATAGGAGTTCAGCCAAGTCCCTAGAGGGCTGATCAAAGTTTCTAAAACTAACTTGAAACTGAGAATGATGTAACTTGAAACTTAAATGATATGGTGCACATAAATAGTAGTAGCAGTCGATCAAGATGCAAAATAAATAACAGAAAATACAAATAAAAAGAACAAAAGAAAAAGAAAATACTATCAGATGGTGCACTGCCATCTGTTGTTTTTTTTTTTTCCCCTTTCCTGCAAATGTTTCCTATCCTTTAAATATAGCATGTCTGCTCTTTTGTAGTAGTAGTTTAACACTCTTATGTGTATGGGGGCTTCCATTGAAATTTGGTATGCATTCAAAGAAAAAGAACAAAAGAAATAAATAAATACTGAAATGAACTTTAGTTAGAATGTTATGTCAATCTTGAAATGAACTTTAGTCGGACTATATATATCTTGAAATGAACTGTAGGCTTTAAAGAGACTAAAGAAGATATTAAACAAAACCACAACTAAAAAACTATAACAATGGTCTAAGATGCACTCAAAAGTACACCAGTCTTAAATCTCAAGAGTACTGAACTTTTTTCATAGAGCTTCCTTAAGATCCCTAAACTTCAAGGATTAAAGTTTCTAGTACAAATTATGGCTGCAATCCAAATGAGAACTAGGGGTTTAGGAATATGGCTACAATAACAACCTAATGGAGTTATTTATTAGAACCATGAGGATTTGGAGGCAAAGGAAAAGCTAGAATAAAAAGACAATATAAACAGAGTGAAGATCTGACTTTTTCACAATATTAGGTGAGAAAGTGTTGTACCTGATTAGTAAGAATAAGGAAAAATATATATATAAAAAAAAAATCAGCAGATAATAAAGCATATTACTGATAAGAGCCTACATACATGCATCAAATAACATATAGTGCATTAAAGTTGTACCAAGTATCGACAGGTATTGCTAAGCATCAAGAGAAACTACATATGTAAATGAGCCCATGATGTAGTATTGCAGCCTTTATCTCCATGTGCTCCCAAGATGACAGAGAAATCAAAGGAAATAAAGAATTACGAAGAAGAAATGCCGGAAAGGTTCAAATGAACAAGGGTTAAAGGACAAAAAAAAATTGCCTCAAGTGCCATATAGGAAGTAGTCACAAAATATTGTCATTTGTTTCCCAACATAAAAAAAAATTAACAATTTTGTGGTAGTTTTCAGAATTAAAGAACTATGATTGCACCCTTTACTGAGTCCAAGCTAGTAGAACTACAATCTCTGTAATTGTAGGGAAGTAATAACAGAATCAATATTGTCTACTAACACAAATGCAAATTCCTAATCTTCAACATAGTGTGAGTGAGCTATTTTATTGAAGAAGATTTTGAATTTAGTGGTATACGTCTCAGATCTACCCATTTTTTATCCTTTTCTTAAGCCACAGGACTTATTAGCAAGACCCATTTTGTAAATTGAATAAATAAATAAACAAAATCTTCAATTGAATTAAAAGTACAACCCAAAGGATAGGCATGGGGCAATAACATCTTCACAACACAAACCTTTAAAAATTCAAAAGAAAAAAGAACATTAACAAAGAAATCTAATGGAGTAATTCAATTGAATAAAATAATTCATACCAGCAGTAGTGTCATGTGTTGAACTAGTACTCGATGATGCACTAGGCAAGCTACCTGGAGGATACCATGACATGGGTGGATCAGGTATGATGCGTGTACTCTCCTCTGAACTTTCATCTAAACTCCCACTATAAGAACTCTCATCTGCACTCCCACTATAAGAACTCTCAGAATTTGCAGAGGCTGAATGTTGCCTCTGCCTAGAGCATCGTCGATCTGTCATGCTAGTTTACAGAAGACCACAAGCATACGTGTAGAATTTTATGGGTTAACAATGAATATAAAGTCCAAAATATTAAAAAATTTCTCTACAAATTTAAATTTTAAACACAATCTTAATATAACAGATATGATCTTTCTCAAGGACATAAAAGGTTGTCTCAAGGACAATCACGTTGAAAAGCAAACAAATGACGCATTTTAAAAGCAAAGGTTTCATTAACATGAATATCCATGCTAAAAGCACAAATGTAACAATGAATATGAAACAAAATTACAATATCATATCATTTCTTCATCATCTTCAGATTGTGTCTGTGTCGATATCCGAAGAGGTCCAATAGTTTCATCAATAGTTGTTCCAACTTCACCTTGCCTAACCCAATTTATGTCCTCTTCACAAGCAAACGAAGTTGCATCTAACTCTTGTCGCCAAATCCTTCCACTTCATTGTGATGTTCTCCATCATTAATTGGTTGTTCTCCACACACCTCATACAAGTCTCTAGGTTTCATCTTGACTACAACATCCCAATCAGCTTCAACGGGATCATTAACATAGAAAACTTGTTGTGCCTGAGATGCTAGGATGAATGGCTCATCACTATTTTGTTTCTTTGTATATAACAAATGATTGAAATTAACAAGTGTGAAACCAAACCCATCCTGCTTCAGTCCTTTGTTGTTGTCAATCCAGTCGCACATGAATAGCACATATCTACGGTCGTATGAATAATACAATTCAATAATATCTGTCACATATCTATAGTATGCTACTTCACCTTCCACGGGATTCATGTCTCTGGTACTTGCATAGCTACAAGTCTTTGCTTTCACCATAACCCCATTATTTTGAGTTTTTCTTCTCCACTCACGACTCCTCGTATGATACCTAGTACCATTAATTATATACCCACTGAATCTCGTGGCCTTTTTACTAGGTCCCAATGCCAAAGTTTTAATCTCATCTGACAACACAGCATTTTCAATAGCTAGAAGCTCTTCAACCTATTTTTAAAAAGTCAACAAAATTAAACATCAACTAACAGAGAATTAAAAATTGAAAACATGAGAATTGAAAATTAGAAACATGTAAGTTATTAGTACTTACATGAGAATTAAACCATCTGGGAAAATCATCATTGTGACGGCGATCTACATCAAAATCTTTGAGACGACGATGTGACCGCTTAATAAAATCACGATGTTCCCTATACATTTAAAGTACTTATAAAATGCAAGATACTTATTAATTGTATCAATAAAATTTTGGAACAAAGATTGTATCTTACTCTCGATATGGGACAACCGCAGCAGTGTTAAATAACACATACCGATGAGCTTGTACCCATGATGTGCTATCAAGCGCAAACCCTTTTTCTTTTCCTAAAGCATGACCCAGTAATATCCCAGGATTGTCGCTAACATCGTAATTCCTAATTGGTCGATTCAATTTTGACTCGACATCATCCAAGTACCTTGAGCAAAAGGTCATACACTCTTCAACTAAGTATCCCTCTGCAATTGAACCTTCTGGATGACTTCGATAACGCATATATGACTTAAGTGTCATAAGATACCTATAACCAAACAAATGCACATGACTTTCAATTATAAACAAACAAATGAATACAACTGTAAATTGGAGTAGAATTGCACACCTTTCTATAAAGTACATCCAGCGATATTGCACTGGACCGGCAATCTTGGCCTCCTCTACTAGGTGAATAGGCAAGTGCTCCATTATATCGAAAAATGATGGAAGAAAATTTCTCTCAAGATGGCAAAGTGTAAGAGCAATTTGGGATTGAAGATGATCTAACCCATTTGGCTCTAGAGTTTTGGAGCACAACTGCCTGAAGAAATTGCTTAACTCAATCAATGGTTCAACAACTTTCTTCGGTAACAAATTTCTCACTGCTATTGGAAGTATTTGTTGCATCAATATATGGTTGTCATGACTTTTCAGTCCAGATATGCTATGTTGTTTGAGGTTAACACGACGAGAAATATTGGATGCATACCCATCTGGAACTTTGATATTCTTCAGGAGTGTACAAAACAAACCTCTCTCTCTATTGTTCATAGCAAAACATGCAGGCGGCAAATAATACCTGTTCCCAACCCCTTTTTTAGGATGTAATGCCTTTCGAATTCCCATATCTTGCAAGTCTCGACGAGCATTTAAATTATCCTTTCCTTTCCCATCAACATTTAATATCGTCCACAATACATTATCACACACGTTCTTCTCAATGTGCATTACATCAAGATTGTGGCGAATCAAATTATGCTCCCAATATGGAAGCTCAAAGAAAATACTCCTCTTCCTCCAATTATGATCCCCCTCGTTGTCCTCTTTTTCCTTTCCTTTCCTAGTTCTTTTTTGTCTGTTAGTTGGTTGATGCTTAGGCCCTAGCTGTCGTAACACATTAGCCCCCGATAACCGAGTTGGACATGGTTCAAATTCAAAAGTTCCATCAAACGACGTACCATCTTTTCGAAATTTGTGACTCGCATTCAACCAGCGGCGATGCCCCATGTAACAAATTTTCCTTCCATTCTTCAAATACCGATGTCGAGTACGTATGTTACAACAAGGACAAGCTAAAGCACCTTTCGTGCTCCATCCAGACAAATTTGCAAATGTAGGAAAATCATTTATTGTCCACAGTAAGACCGCGTGCAATTGGAACATTTGATTAGTTTATGCATCGTACGTCTGAACACCATTTTCCCACAATTCAATCAGTTCATCCACTAACAAGCGCAAGTAGACATCAATGTTATTGCCAGGTGAAGAAGGACCATCAATGAGCAATATCATCATCATATGAGGTTGTTTCATGCACAACCACGGTGGCAAATTATAAGGCATTACAATAACTGGCCAACTGCTGTGAGCAACATTCATTGCCTTGAATGGATTAAATCCATCCGCTGCTAAACCTAGTCTGACATTGCGAGGCTCACTCGCAAACTTGGGATACAAAGTATCAAAATTTTTCCAGACAAGAGAGTCAGCAGGATGTCTCATTTTGCCATCATCAATTCGGCCCTCTACATGCCATCTCATTAATGAAGCAGTTTTGGATGACATGAACAATCTTTGAAGCCTTGGAATCAAAGGAAAGTATCTCACAATCTTCTGGGGAATTCTTTGTTGCTTCTTTTTATAATCATTCTTCTCACCCTCAAACTGTTTGTATCTAGGCGTCTGACACACTATGCAATCATCCCTACTAGCTGTCTCCTTCCAATATAGTGAGCAGTCTCTTGGGCATGCATGTACCTTGTGATAATCGAGGCCCAATTCCCTAAGGAGTGCCCTCGTTGCATAGAACGACTTTGGCAAAGTTTCACCTTTTGGGAATGCATCCTTCAAAAGTTTAAGCAACATCGTGAAAGACTTGTCGCTCCATCCACTAAGGCACTTGATATGCAATAATCGAACAACAAATAAGAGCGTTGGAAACTTGTGACACTCTGGATACAACTCTCTTTCGGCCTCCTTCAATAAACTGAAAAATCTTTCAATTTTCTTATTTGGGCCTAGTTCGATATTAGAACTTCCTGTCTCATTACTAGCACGATGAACCAAGCTTGGTGGAGGAAGTCCGAACCCCTCATATATCATTTCATTGACTTCATCGCCATCATTCAAATCACTGACATTCAATGGCACAGACGCCGGTAAATCTTCCCCATGAAAAATCCATCTGGTGTAGCTTGGAAGAAACCCATTAACCATTAAATGTTCCCCCAAAAGGTCTTTCTTTACTAGTTTGACATTCCGACACCGTTTACATGGACATGTGACTTCAATTGATAGAGCATTATTTTGGCATGCAAGTTTAACAAATTCCTTAACCCCTTCTATATATTTTGGATGCAACCTATGCTAATTTATCCAACTTTTATCCATCTGACTTCGTATTACACTACAAATGTCACTGTCAAATCAACAAAGTTTAAAATTATCATTTCATTTTAATTATTCTTAACCTCAATTAAGTACCTTATAATGCATGCGACATGACACCATTCACCTCTAACTCTTCTCTAATAGGTTGGTTCATCCTACTTTCCCATTCAGGAATGCACAATCTATATTGTAAAAAGTAGCTCATACCGCTCTATCCATCTCTAACGAAATTTCGGCAGCATCTCCCCATGGTTCTCCAAGTACACTACACAGACTGGGTGTATTGCTACACCTTGTCTAGTATGCACCCGGAGAACATGAGGAGCTACTACATGAAATCTCTACGAGATGGACTAAATTTAAGCAGTAGAACTACTAATTACAACATAGACTTGTGCTCCTGAACTGTCCAAACTGAACAATCCAAGAAGAGCCTCATCAAAGATGACTAGGTATCTTTGATGAAGATTCTTGAACGGGTCTACGGCTATTTATGCATGCATGGATAATTACTTGCTAAATTAACAACTTTCATGATTTTTGCATCCCGGTGGTGCAACTTGAATCAACACTATCAAGCATACTAGAAGCATTTCTAGCATGAAGCATATTAATGAAGAAACTAAAAGTTTCTACAATGCTCTTGATAGATTATGATATAGAACTTCATCAAGATGACTAGGTATCTCTAATGAAGATTCTACAAGAATAACCAGATTATCCTGATTGATCACAAAGTAAAAAATTCCATGATTGTAATTGATAGCACATAACAATGGCAAGTACTCGATATTAGGTATGCTTCATTTAGTTTGTTCTTGTGCTCACAAGTAAGCAACAAGTTCTCACTACTACATGAACACCCACACATACCAATATATCTTAGTAGTGTTCTATTTCATTTGTATAGCACCATTTTTGTGTCCCTATCAAAGCCCAAAAAGAAAACTATGCAAACGAGGGTAGATTTCAAATTACTTAACAAAAAATTATGATAAACATTAGAAATTCAAAATCATAATGTTACACAAAAAATATAAGCACAAAAAATATAGACCAAGCACACTTGCCAAATAGATAATTAATTGCAAAAATCCAAATAATCTCATACATTGTCACTCTGAGATCATGAGACCATCTATAGTATAAGCTATCTAATCCCAAACTGTCTTGCAAATCAATTACCACCCCCTCTCAAAAGTATTGAAAACAAACAAATCTACAAAATCTTAAATTAGAGAGTTAATTGATTTGAAAAACAAAGAAAGTAATGAAAAACAAACAAAACTACCAAAGAATTAATTGCTTTGAAAAATGTACCTGAGATGAAGAGCAAGAGAGATCGATCTGGTTCAACTATCTGTGAAAGCAGTATATCAATTATCGTACCTCAAATAGAATATTTTGTAATACAAAAAATTAAATTAATTATGATCTAAAAAGCAGAATATTACTGGATAAGATGTAATAAAACACCAAAAAAATGAAACACGAAACTCTTTTAAGATATCATTCTCCATAATCTAGACTACATGATCTATGTGTTTTGACATTAATTGCTAATAAAAAAAATTACAAAAAAAAAAATAAAAATTTGTCATTGTACAATTCGATTCCATCAAATTTTCTACTTAAATTAATAGAGTTTGATTATATTTTGGCTTCACCTTGTCAACCATATATTAATTTCTACGGTTCCGTGGATTTAACTGAGGATGTTACTTACAAAATCCAAGTGTTTCTAGATTCAGAAAATTACATTGTAGCATTCCTTTCATAACACAATCATGTCAACGGACTCTTAACTTATGGTGATAATATGATAGTGACAAGAGACATCCTAAGTTCCTCAGAAGCGCAAACAAGTGACACGGCAAGGACACAACACAGACACACGGACACATACATTTTAAAAAATTGCAAGACATGACACACATGCAAAACATATAATGCCATATATATAATTATTATATATTTATTCTATATCAAATATTTATTTTCATCAAATTCATTAACCTTGGGCATGTGTGTCCCCAACGTGTCCATCGCGTGTCACTTCGTCCACAGTGCATCCATGTCGAACACATGTCACACACATGTACGTGATCTATGAAGAGGTGTTTGTGCTTCATAGCCAAGTTCTACTCATCTTTCAATTTTTATTGATTAATATGCCAAATCACATTCATATGACAAGGAATCGTAGATTCCAATTACATCTAATTTGCATATTCACAGCCAAATTCACCATATGATAGGTAGCAATATTGCAAGAAGAAGAAAGCATCTAAACTTAAGGGAATGGGAGAAAGTAATTAAGCACCTCATGCTGATAGCAGACATAATCGTATATACAACGCCCACCTTCAAAAAATTTAATCTTAGAAAGGCACTACACACTGCTGAGCTCCTCTTTCCTGAAATTTCAACCAGTGTCAACTGTCATAACTATATACATGCATGATAATAACAAGAAACAATTCATCAAAATGACTATCCCCTCAGGTTCAATCTTTTCTACTGGAAAAACAATTCTCAAACTTAGCTTAATTTTCTAAATATCTTTTTTGTATTTGTAGCCTTATTTTTCTAACAATATTAATTATTTTGGGTAGCAACAATTTAAAAATAACAATATGCTTATTTTAAAATCAAAGTTGCCTTCTACTTCAATTCAAGTTCCAACGAACATAGTATTCATCCCACAAACACCAACCACTAATGGACACAAAAACTATGACATACAAAAATCATTATTAGTGTTGTATTGGGTGATAGAAACTAGTATGGTTATCAAATCTATTTGGTTTAAGCATGGTAACCAACTTTAAGAATGGTTTAATTTTAACCTTACATGGTTAAGTAATTATTTTGATTTTAAGAGGCTCCACAGAGTTGAATAAGTCATTTAACAATTTGAATTATATTGAGGAATTTTTTTTTTTTTTTTTTTTGCCAAATCAATGTAACTCAATCAACTACAATAAAGTACATGCCTTGTTTGCTAACCATTAAGAAAATTAAAATAATTTGAAATCTAGCAGCAAGAAGAAAAGTGAATATAATTAAAGGTGATAACTAATTATAGTACATATCTAGTCTCTAGATATTGCACTACATAAATTTGTTAAAATACTAATAAAAACATCACCTTGGTTATGTTGTTGTACTCACTTGTCAATATATATATATATATATATATATATAAAGATGTGAAAAATAGTAATATAAGACCTATTACACTTTTCAAATTATAAAGTTTATGTTTGAGTTTTCTTCCATTTTTCTCCTTATAAGCTCCCCCATTGTTGGGGTTAGCATTTGATTTGCACTCCCTCTATTATTTTACTTTTTTGTTCACTTCTCACTTATCTGATAATTCCCACAACAACAACAACAACAACAAAAAGAAAAGAAACAGCCTATCATATTCTCAATTTCTTATCTCATGAACCCACATTAATAACAATACATTAATTATGTAATTAATATTATTAACATAAGAATTCTAAGAATGAGTGGACAAATCAGTTTAAGAGATAATTGGTAAAAATCAAAAGGACCTCAATTCTAATGCATGCTTTATTATGTGTCAACAATGCAAGATTCAGGACAAG